ATATATGAATTAACTGTTGTTCGGTGTTTTACCATTTGGAACCTTTTGACGGCAAAATTACGAAAAATTATCGAAGTAAAAGCGATTTAACTAAATAGTTGAAAATTATGAAAAATTCTAGGTCGTCTGTGGACTTATGTGTCCGACTGTCACTAACGTGGTGATAAAACTCAACTTAGAGGCTCTACCAGATGCCAAGATCGTTTCGGACAGACAACAATATAAGGAATGTAGTCCCACGACATCCACAACTTTATCCTCTTTGTTAGTGGAGCGTTAAGTCAAAGCCTGGGGCAACCACGTAACGAGTGAGCGCGACGTAGAGTTGCTGTTCTATGAAATACTTCCCTATTTACTCGGATGGGCACACGCTCGTTCAAGAGTGCAAGTCTTGACGAGCAACCTATTGCACTTATCGGAGGCTCTTTGGGACAGACTCACCTCGACCTCGCTCTTGGTCATTAGACATTGAAAGAGTGTTGCGTCAGACTTTCTTGTAAGCCGGCGGGGGGGGCGGAGACGCCGGCGCCTGTCTAGATGTTCTTCGCATAACACTTCTCGCGCGCGGCCGAGACAAAAGAACAATTTAACGGATACTATAGCGCCCCATAGACTTCCGGACGCACAGGCCACAACATCGCATGCTCTTGCGCTCTGGTTGATCCACTCAACAGAAGGCACACCTCTTTGAACATACTTATAACACAGCCATGAGAGTAAAATATCACTAGTAAAACAGTGTCGGAGACTTACAGATACGCCAATGATTTGTGAACTAAAGTCTCCGCAAATGTGATTATTTGTCAATTCGTCCAAGAGGTTGTATTCTACAGTCTGCCTGAATGTAATCATTGCGTAGGTGTGTAGTGTGATTCTGTGTAGTTTATTTATGGCATCCCGTTGGATTTGACGTCATCTGAACAGGACATCGCACGCTCACTGCTTGATAGCGCGTGAAGGCCCGTTTACGCCGGTTGCTAAGCAACATCGTTATGGGGAAATGCAAGTTTGCGTCCAAATGGTTGGAAGACAAAGAGGAAGGACAATCAATACTGTATATAGTCAGTGAGGTAAAGTGTGTCGCCAAGGTAACCGGTTAAAACTCCAAGTGGCGATGAGGTCTTAAAATGTATGGAAAGGGTCTTAAAAAAAGGTCTTAAAAGGTATTAAATTTGACTTCAGGATTCCTGCATATACCCTGGTATTCCTCTCCTTCGTGCTTACTTCTCGCCCCTTCCCATTCTGTTTCAGTTTTTTTCTCGGCACATACAATGTGAACGGACAGACACCGAAGGAAAGCCTCTTTCCTTGGCTGAACTGCACTTCAGACCCTCCTGACATATACTGCGTGGGGTAAGTCACATCCACCCTGCGGGAGAATAGCCTTTCAATCTCCCCTTAATCCCATTACACAGACTGATACCCACACTGCTCACACCTCTGAATGTACCATCGAACTGGTGAACGTGCCCACCCACAGCTCGGTGTTTAATCCTGCCTACGTTTCAGTTTGCTACTTTTATGTGAAACTGATTTAAGAGTAACAAAAACGTTTTCCTTCTTGATAGTTTTCAGGAGCTTGACCTCAGCAAAGAGGCTTTCTTCTTCAACGACACCCCCAAAGAGCTGGAGTGGACGAAGGCCGTGTCCGAGGCCTTGCATCCAGATGCCAAGTATGCCTTCGTAAGAAAAACCTTTTTTTAATTCATTTTTTATCCTTCCTGAAATATTTGTATAGTTGTTTCTGTTGATACTCAATGTCTCTGAGGGATTGCTCAACTGGGTAAAACTAGTGCACTCAACAACAACGGCGGTATTTACTTGCAATACCATTTGTTTACAACAAAAACAATAGTGTATGCATGGCTACTCGGTCACAAACTGTGTGCTCACCCCAGCCCCAATCACTGCCGCCTGGTGAGCTCACTTGTATCACCTGTTGAACCAATACCCCATCCAGTGTTCAAAAAGCAACAACAACATATACGTATTGTTATGGTATAAGAGTTATTAACCACACGTTTTTAGACTGGGACTATATATATTTGCTCCAAAGCTCGTTAGACCTTTCTTAAAATGGGCGCTGGTAACATATTTTTTCTTTGATTGTGTTACAATGAACTGGCAGATGGCTCATGCAATGTCTGCCTGTGGCTTTAGTAACTGCTTAAATGAACAGTGTACCATTAGATTATGCAGAATGTTAGACAGGAACTTAGCCTTGTCATTTCTTCTCTTTCCTTTTCTTAGCTTTCATCTACTTCCCTTTTCTCAGAGTGCTGAATCTAGCTTTTAGCTTCCTGCTTTCTTGGCCGTTACAGGATGTCTTTAAGTCACGTAGGGGGTCTAAAGACAACTTTTCTTCAATCACTCTCAATGCTCTAAATGAAGGATGCATGGCTCATCTGTAACTGACACTGTGTAGTTCAGGAAGCCAAAGAAATAGCTTTTTACCTTCAAGTTTGAATTATGATTTGTCTAGGTTTGACAGGGAGGGAGGCTTACCAAACTATTTGTGCTTCCCCCTATGCACAGCTGCTTCGATTCTGAGAAGTGCTGTTTGTTTCTGTTTTCTGGAGATAAGATTAAGATGCTGATTTAAGCAGCAAAAAACTGTATTCCAGCACTTGCCTTGTTTGGCTCTACTGCCCACGCATTAAAGAAAATGACCCAGCAAAGTCTGCATTTCAATGTGTACGGTATATGTTCCCTTTCCTGTATAAAAATGACATTTTTGCTTGTACTCGTCTTCTCCAGGTGAAGTTGGTGCGTCTGGTCGGTATCATGCTGATCTTCTATGTGAAGAATGAGCATGCGGCGTTCATCTCTGATGTGGAGGCTGAGACAGTAGGCACAGGCATCATGGGGAGGATGGTAAGGACTGCATCTGAAGGGCTTATTCTTTAAGGTCCCCATGTTGTGTATATTATAATATTTACATTCTGATCTGGGAGTTGTTGAGCAGCTATGATCCGAGAGAGTCCATGCTTCAGGTGTCCCTCATCTCCATCTCTTTCCCCTGTTGCTGCTGATTGAATCACTTTGATGTTCCTTCATTAGAGATTCCATAAAAAGCTTTTTATTCTTGGAGACTTTCAAACCAAGTTTCAATATCAGTTTTAGTAACCTCCCTAGTTTTGTCTGCATGAAAAGGTCTTCCATTGCCATTGCCATATAAATGCATTAGTTATAACCAGTGTTTCCGCCAGACCAGGGCTGAGTGGGCGTCCACCCCGAGAGCGGGAGGTGTGACATCACGTTGTGTCACGTCACGTTGTGTCACGTCACGTTGTGTCACGTGACGTCACGTTGTGTCACATCACGTCACGTTGTGTCACGTGACTTGAATTTAGATTTGAGCCGTCCCTTTATAGATACTATCTCTTTACATCATTTGGCTCAGCTCACTAAGAAGAACCGGCTCCCAAACGGCTCTTCATGTTACCACAGTTTATCACGTAGCCTCAGTTTCGCCGCTGCGAGGCTCCGGCACTCGCAGTTCACGCGCGTGCTCCACTAGCACCCAAGGCTCGCCGGCAGCACACTTTCCGTCACAGGAACACACTTTGCTGGTGGCGAAAATAATCCCACCAGACTCCTTTGCCCCTCCAACAGAGGGATGTCCTTGTCCTTTTTCCTTTTCGTCATTTCAAGCGATTAAAAACTCTCGATCTTCCCTCGAATTATAAAGTTCTTTGGACGCCCTCGGCTCGAGTTCAGGGCGTTCCGAGCTGAATAAGGACGTCAAATGATGGCATGACGCCCCCCCTGGTGGAAACTCTGGTTATAACACACAAGTAGTGTGCGTGGCAATCCTATCAACAGTAGCTTCACACATTAACACCAGGTTATTAAAGCAAACGAGCGAAGCAGAGAACAAACATTGGGATAATACAATGACTGTGTTGTTTCTCTGCAGGTAAATAGCACTCTTTATTCTGCCGTAAGGACAAACATTCAAATCTTGTCTGCTTCCTCCTTTTACCTGTTTGCATACACTTCCTGCAGAATAGATATGTCTTGTTTTATGTGCGGCCACTGTGCCTGCAGTGCAGAGCTGGCTGGTAACCAAGTGAAGCCTTTGTGATGTTGCTTTGCACCACAAACCATCTAAAGCAGGCCAAGTGTGTGCTTGATTTGGAATATAGAAAACAGAACTTCATAGAGACTTAAAACATTGTGTTTCCCTAAATCATTTTTGCAGGATTTAGATTATGTTGCTCACTTTATTCTGACTAAATGTCTCTTTCCCCCTCTAACTGTCTCATTGGTCTGCAGGGAAATAAGGGTGCTGTGTCCATCCGTTTTCGCTTCCACAACTCTGACATCTGCGTGGTCAACTCTCACTTGGCTGCCCACATCGAAGAATACGAGAGACGTAATCAAGACTACAAGGACATCTGCAGTCGTCTCCAGTTTCGCCAGCTCGACCCCAACCAGCCCCCACTCACTATCATGAAGCACGAGTATGAAACCAATGAACTATTACAGACTTAGTGTCGTCATGTGCATTAAATGTGATCGTAAAAATGCTTTTGCTTTAAATCCACATATGTTTGTATACAAGTGTTGGAGTAGTTGAATGAGATCGTGCACATTTATATCCAACGGTGACAATTTTCTTATACATATCTAACTTTTTGTAATGTCTGTCTCTCTGTTCCTCAGTGTGATTTTATGGATTGGAGACCTCAACTACAGAATCACTGAACTTGACGTCTCCGATGTGAAGGAGCTAATCAGCAACAAGGACTTTGAAACGCTGCACAATTATGATCAGGTAACGTGAAGGAGGGTCTCTTTATTCATGTTTATCAGCAGTGTGTGATACTTACCGGCTCTCTATGCTTCTCAGCTCAAGAGGCAGATCGATGAGGAGGCCGTGTTTGTTGGCTTTGTGGAGGGAGACATTGATTTCCAGCCCACCTATAAATATGACACCGGCTCTGACTTGTGGGATACGAGGTAAAGTGATATGAAGGTCTGACTGTAAATGGCAGAATGCATATTTATAGTAGAGAGCGTTTATCACAGATATGTTCATACATCTCTCCATTTGTAAGTTCCAATGTCTGTTTTTCTCTTTGTTAAAACCACTTTTATTCGAGTGTTCACACAAAGATTGGCACTAGAGGATCTCCCAGTGCCGTGATGATTGACATATGGGGTTCAGGGAGGAAAGCTGATATTGTAATGTAATGTAAATACAAACGGGAAATAGCCTCTATATTTGTGCCCTGAAGCAATGTGAAAAAAAGTTTGCTTTACACGATTCACCCGTTAAACATATTAAAGAGGTTTCTCACTTTAAATCTTAAAAAAATCGACAACATTAATGGGCCCAGGCAGGAATAACAAATCATTTTGGCCCCCTGTTTTTAGGCTCTTAAGATTATCAGTAACTGTGCCTCATAGCTCATTCAGGAGTATAGTTGTCTGGTACCTTTTACTATTTGTATGAGCAAATATACTTTAGAAAGTATGTAATGTTCACCGTATTGAGATACTTTAGTTTAGGTAAGGCATAACGTTATAAACATGCTTGAGAATTAACACGTTTTGTTTCTTCTGCATTTAGTGAAAAATGCCGCGTGCCAGCATGGTGTGACCGTATCCTGTACAGAGGGAAGAACATCGTGCAAAAGCATTATCAGAGTCACATGGCTCTGAAGACCAGTGATCATAAACCAGTCAGCTCCCTGCTCCAGATCGGGGTTAGTGATTCAGCCTTCTACCTTTTTTCATCTTCAATTTCTTTCATTTCTTTTCTGTTGTGAGATAGATGCGGAATCCAGATGAAATCAATGCATTTCAATACAAATGTTGTCGCTTATAGGCTTTTATTTTTTTGCAAATGTCATATAGGGTATTTTTTTCTATGACTTAAAGGTCATAAAACAGATATTTATGTTGCACTGTTGCTCTGCCTCTTACATGTCTCTGTTTTTCTACTGTTCCCACAGATTAAGAGAGTAAATCCTGATGACTATAAGAGGACCTTTGAAGAGATTGTACGCAATATAGACAAAATGGAGAATGAGTGTATTCCATCTGTAACCTTATCCAAGCGTGAGGTAAACATTTCACATCAAGTCCCGTTTGATTACAGTGTAGTCAGTGCCTCTCTGATAAGCCCTGCACAATTCATTTGACTCCTCAAGTAAACCACCACTAATGAATGTGTGTATTGATTAAGGGCTGTTATCCTAATGGATACAGTTACATTACATCGAGTAGACTTTTTCTCTCCTGCCTCATGAACCCTTTCCTCTTCTCTCAGTTTCACTTTACGGATCTGAAATACATGCAGCACCAGGCCGAAACTTTGAGCCTCTTCAATGACGGGCAGGTCCCGTGTCAGTTTGAGTTTATCCAGAAACCCAATGAGTCCACATACTGCAAGGCCTGGCTCACGGCCAATCCCTCCAAAGGCTTCATCGCCAACGGTGAGTAGCACATGAGTACAGAGTTTCATCCCAGAGTCACGTTTATTTTTCTGATCTACCATCTTTCAGTTTGCTGCCTTAAGGTTTGAGAAATGGTGAAGTACTTTATAAGCTGTGAGGTCAGATCTCTTTGGTTTTGACTTACAAGATAAGTAATCACTAAATCAGGCATTTGGTAAAAAAAAAAAGTTTTAAATGCATGTTTTTTTCTCTGGATAAATGAAGTATATATTCTTTGCTTCTCATCTCTCTGAGTGTTGCTGCATAAAAAAGGCGCTGGGTAAATACAGAGCTCATGAACTATGAAGTACAACTCAGTATTTCAATTATCCTGGAATCAGGAGATCGGTATGGTGGCTTTAGAGCAGGAGTGTCAAACTCAATTTCATCCCGGGCCACATCAGCATTATGGTTGCACTCAAAGGGCCGGTTGTCATTTTAATGATATATAAATATACATATGTAAATATATAAGATATATTAAATAATGTATTATATTACATTGTTGGCCCTGCATTGGATTATTATCAGTTCTGGTAATATCTTCCTAAATAACTACGTCTGAAAGCAGAAGTCTAGGGCAAATAATTGAAAGTAAATATTCAACAATTACACCAATTGTATTGTATATTATATTCTTTGCAAGCTCTTGCGGGCCACATAAAATTAGGCCGCGGGTCGGATTTTGACGTGACGGCCTGTTCAACTAGTGGAGTAGGTGTCAAGTAAATCCTTCAGATCCTCCGAAAAGCACAAAAGTGCGCAAGAGTAGAGGTCTGAAGAGCGGACTACAATTTTGTTTAGCTAGTTTCCTCGTCAAGTCAGTTTACTAAGTTGGCAAAGTTTAGGTTTGTACTTGACGAGTATGTAAATTTGAGAACTACGGACGACCGGATAGTCTCTGTTGAGATTACCTCTTCTCATCAAGTTCCGGGGGGCGGGGCCCCGCCCGACGGAGACCTGGGGGTACCCGTCGGGGTGATTGGTGAAAGAGCTTCTCAGAGAACACCGTACAGGACCTACGCGAGGAATTCGACTGTGTACTTACCCCCTACTCTTGGCATCGTCGGACCGTTCCACGAAAGGACTCTAATCTTAACTTCGATCAGGAAGGTCCGCGAGGTGTCACCTCGGGGTGGTCCTACAGAAGCTTAGACGAGGACGGCCGGGTCATCAAATTCCAAGTCCGCGCCCCCAACTTTGCGCAAAATGTTTTGGAGTTTCGAGTTAGAGCCGTCAGGGCTGACCTCCAGCTCTCTTGCGGTGTAATTGCATTCCCCCTTTTATTGCCGCTGCTAAGATGAACCGGGGGTTTCAGTAGAACGAAAACGGAGAGAGCGCGTTTAACCCAAAGTAAAAGATTCTACGATACTTACTTGTTTCTGAATTCAATTTAACAGTCCACCCTTGAGATAAAAAAACCTCAAAGTGGGTGTAGCGAGATTTCGTCGCCGACGAGTTGAGTTCC